AAGAGAGAAAGACAGAAAGAACAGAGAGAGAGAGAGGGGCGGAGGAGAGAGAGAGGCGTAGGGGCGGCAGCGATATACGAGAAAAGACAGTGCCAGTATAGACAGACACAGAGAGAGGGGGGAGAGGGAGAGAAAACAAGATACAGAAGAGAGAGAGGAGAGAAACAGAGAAGACAGAGGAGCAGAGAGAGAGAGAGAGAGAGAGAGAGAGAGAGAGAGAGAGAGAGAGAGAGAGAGAGAGATGAGAGAGAAGAGAGAGAGAGAGAGAGAGAGAGAGAGAGAGAGAGAGAGAGAGAGATTTCATAGAGATATCACTTTTTCTCTCCTTCTTCCTCTCCGTCTCCCTCTCCCTTTCCGTCTCCCTCTCCCTCTCTCCCTCTCCCTCTCCTTTTCAACCTCTTCTCTTTCCCTCTCCCTCTCAACCTCTCTTCTCTCTCTCTTTCCTTTTGTTTTTCTCTAGGATGCCCAAAATTATTATTATCTGAAAAATAATTTATGAAGTACTGCACAAGTGTTCAGATGATTCAATTGCAGAATAATAATATTTACAACAGCGCTCCCTCATTTTGCGCATGCGTTGTACACATATCGACATGTAAACAAAGACGGGAATAACGATTGGGAAGATAAGTTTTCGAGGGACTATATATAATCTGACAGGTAATATGAGTTCGTAATTTATTTTGGCTGGAGTTCGAAACAGAGGGAAGATGGTGCACATTTATTGATTTGGGCCATTTGGTATTCTATCTTTTTATTTAGGCTAATTTTGAGAATTTTACATTGGCATTGAAAACGATATATCTTGTTTAGAAATATGCAGTGATCTTTAGAACGGGACTTTCTTTTTGTAATTGTAATGTCTGGGTTCAGTTGTAATCCACTTGAGACTTGCAGGGATTTGAAATTGATAGCCATTCTAATAGCAGCTGTGGCAAGCAAGTTTCACTACTCTAATGGAGGCTACTACTATTACTTCTTCTTATGCTACTTCTACTACTACTTCTACAACTACTTCTACAACTACTTCTACAACTACTACTACAACTACTACTACTTCTACTTCTACTTCTACTTCTACTTCTACTTCTACTTCTACTTCTACTTCTACTCTACTTCTAACTTCTACTTACTTCTACTTCTACTTCTACTTTCTACTTTCTACTTCTACTTCTACTTCTACTTCTACTTCTACTTCTACTTCTACTTCTACTTCTACTTCTACTTCTACTTCTACTTCTACTTCTACTTCTACTTCTACTCTCTACTTCTACTTCTACTTCTACTTCTGCTTACTACTACTACTACTACTTACTATTACTATTACTATTACTATTGCTACTACTATTACTACTACTATTACTACTACTACTACTACTACTACTACTACTACTATAACTACTACTATTATTATTATTATTATCATCATCACTTTTATTACCATCTTTTCATTATTGTTGATGTTATTGTTGTTACAAGGATAATGAAAAAGAGTAAGTTATTTCTTTATTTTTGTTTTGAATAGATCCCTCAGTCTTTTTTATTTACATGCACTTTCTCTTCCTGATTTCAGAGATGAGTTCCTCCTCAGAGGACGATAGCCACATGATTGTGAAGGAAGAGGACATAGGGGATGACATGGACCTCTGGGAGTCTCAGCCGCGGAGGTCGGCCTTTTCACCCTACAGGGTAGGTTTTGGGGAGAAATTGCTTGTGTTGAGATTATTTGTTTATGTAGTTATTGTATTTATGAGAGTTTTTTTTTTTTGGAGGGGGGGGTACTATGTTTTTCAAGGTTAAGGAAGGTTCTAAGTTATGTTATTTTGTATGTATAACATTCTTTGTAAGTGTATATTCTTGTTCTTTTATTTTATTTTCATTGACTTGTTTAGTCATATATTTCAAGGGCAGCAGGTTATTTATTAATGACTTAAAAACCAGCCATAAAGGGTTTGATACAGGTGATTTTTGTTTTGTATATGTGTATTGTTTTGCATTTAATAAGTTTTTTTTTTTTTTATGGAGCGTATGTATATTTTAAGGTTTGAAATTAAGTTCAATAGATTAGAAATTAATAAATGAATAAATAGGTAGGGGAATAAAACAAAAGGTCCCTTGTCAGGAGCTTAATTTGGTTGGCACATTCTGGTGTCAGGGGTAAGCATTTGTTTCCAAATTTTTAAATATGTATTTGCTATTGTTTCTTAATTTTTTACCCTTGCCATTATTTATATCTGTATAGGGTAGTATGAAACTTCTGTATTAATTTATATATCTCGTACTTTCAACAGCCAGTAACTGTTCTGACAAACTTGCAACGAGGCAACATTCAAACTCACACCCCCCAGGTGGAGCCTGAGGACTTTACCCTCCACATCCGCTCAGCAATGGGGGAGCTTTCAGCAGATGACTTAAGAGGTGTGTAGGAAGGAAAGAAGGAAGAGTGTGAGGAAGAGAGGAATGAAGGAAGGATTCCAGATTAGATGTTTTTTTCCTTTTTTCATTTTCTTTTTCTTTCTGTTTTTCTTTTCTTTTTTATCCTTTTCCTCTCTTTCTATTTATGTTTCTCTTCCTGTTCCTCCGTCTTTCTCTGCCTCTTCCATTAAATCCTTTAATTTTTCTTCCTCTTTCTCCTTCTCTTTTATCTTCTTGCTCTCTTTAGTTGATTAATTAATTTCTAATTAGTTTAATGGTATATGGAAAAGCTATGCGAGTCAAAGCCACTCTTCAAACCTCAAACCACTAATTCTGCAACCAAACTTCTCAGATGTGGATGTAGATGAAGTGGATGGCAATGGCTTCTCCCCAATCATGTGGGCAGCATCGTACGGGCAGCTCCCTACTGTCAGGCTCCTCATTCAGAACAGGGCCAAAGTTGACATGGAGGTAGGTCTTGGTGAGGGAGGAGAAGAGGAAAAGGGGTGTGAGGTAAAGATTAGGGTATGGGTTAGGGTAAAGGGTAGATGTGAAGAAGTGGGAGGTGTCCCACCCACTTCTTCTTTTTCTTGGTGTGTGGTAGGTCATGGCTGAGCAGTAAGGCAGTAGTAAGTAAGGTACTGAGGCACTGGTGAGTTCCTTGAAGGTGGTCTGTAGTTAAACTTGCTGCAGTATTTTTACTTTATTCTGGGAGATGGTTCAGAAGGGCAAGGCAAGGACACCCAAAGAGGAGCACATCGCCTGCAAGGGCGAGCAGTCTGAGAGTATGGCACAGGAATTGTCATGAACAAATTTTGTTTTTAAACAATTCACAATGGGAAACATGAAATAATATGAATGAACATAAATATAGAAACATCAGTTCACATGACCGTTTCATGAAGAAGGAACAAGGGTATCGTTGACATAAAGTGGGTATGTTTTTACATCCTAAATATTGTGGTTAGGGGGCAGACTGACTGACTTCATGAAACATAGAACATTTGAATATCAATGTTAAAAGCAATTACATTCACAGTGATTCAGAATCAGCATTTTGTCAGGATCATTTTAAGTATAAACATGACATATTAATACTTGAAGACATAAGAATAAAAGCATGGAGAAGGTATGGGAGCAATAAAGGTTGAATTAGCGTATTCTATGGTCACTTTGTCACAGTCATTTCTTTCAGAGCACAGGGCACTTTGGAATCTTGTGAAATAAACAACACATGGCTTTTGTGGTCTGTGAGGGGCAAGCGATAAGGGAGCAGGCCACTGGAGTAGATGTAGGGGTTGTGGTGAGGGACGGAAATGGCAACAATAAAAGAGTTCAGAGACAGGGATAGAGATAAAAAACAGAGTTAAGCAGAATCAGGATTAAAGTCATTGTTGACAACAGGAATGGTGAAGGGTAAAGGGATGGTTAAGTAAAGGGATAAGGGTAAGAGGGCATATTCTTTTGAAGATTTTTTGAAGAACATGTCTTTCACACTTTCAGAGAATGAGAGAAATTATTCTTTAGGGTGTATTACTAGATTTCAGTCCTGTCCTGTACCTTTTTTTTGTAATATCTCAATATACTGCTTGGAATTCTTCTAGGGGACTTTCCATCATGGATGCCACTGTTCTTTATGATTATCCCTGTGCCTTGCTTGTTTATCTGTATAGATATATGAATTATATGTAAATGGAAACTTTGAAAAATGTAGATTCTATATTCATGATTTTGTTCTATCTACCTAAGAGCCAAATGAGTACAGGAAAAATAGCAATAGGAATAACGAAGGGAAGAGAAAGAAAACACACAAATATGCCGAAGGCCTTTTTGCCAATACTTCGTCAGGGCATACATGACAAGAGGTACACAGAGGAGTATTTATACTAATGTTAGGTGGTTAGGTCACATTGGTGATCAGGTGAGCAATGACCTTGGATAGTTCATGGCTCCCTGTAGTGGTGTTGATATTGTTTGTTGTTTGTGATGATGAACGCCGCTCCTATCATCTTCCTTTGTTGTGGAGGCAGGCCTTGTTTTATGATGGAGGCCTGGGACCACTTCGGGAGGTGACCATCGGTGTCTATGTGAACAACGAAGGCGCTTCTCGTGTCGTGGCTTCGGAGAGCACTGCAGTGTTGGCTGATTCATTGTTCATGCAGTCCTCATGTTGTCTCATGTATGTAGACTTTATCACAACCACCACAAGGTATGCTGTACACCTGGCTGATGGGTCTCTTTTCTCTTACCAAGAGTCAGATCATCTTGCCTGAAGACATGACAATCTTTATAGTCTGGCCCACTAGGGCCTCCAGGTGTTCAGTCTCCTTTCGGTCTGCTCATGATCTTCTCGGCCTTGCATCAGAGGTGGGTTAGCATGGGGCGAGGATAATGGAGGTGTTGAAAGGTGTTACAGACATGTTGCATTTCTTCCTCCAGGAACTCAGGGCTGCATATTCTGAGGGCTCAGAGGAAAAAGCCAATGACCACGCCTTCTTTGGTCCTCTTGCTATGGGCAGAGAAATAATGAATGAAATCATCGTTATTGGTGGGTTTTCTGTGCACGGAGAATCTTGGAACATCTG